ACTGCACCCCACTCCCTTCCCAGGGAGAGAACCCAGGAGTCCTGGCTTCCAGCCCCCCAGCTCTAAGCACTGGACCCCACTCCCTTCCCAGGGAGAGAACCCAGGAGTCCTGGCTCCCAGCCCCCCTACTCTAACTCACTGGACCCCACTCCCCTCCCTGAGCTGGAAATAGGACCCAGGCATTCTGGGAGGGCTCTGTGGGAAGCACAGGCCTGTTGGGCTGCCTTACAGAAACACCTTTCCTGGGCCAAAGGGTCTCTGGGGAGCAGCCTGACCCCCTTGGATTCCAGGCCTTGTGGGCGTGGAGCACCGTGGGAAGCCCCCACGCCAGGCATGGGGCAAAGGCCCCGCGCCCCCCTCGGCCTCCCTGTTGCTGGCTGTGTCCTGGGAGGCGCGGCCCCGAGGGCCGGCCCGGGTCGCGGCAGTGCCCGGCCCCTGGCTCTCTGGCGCAGCGCTGGAGGATCGTTGTCGGCAGTGCTGGCGGCGTTTCCTTCCTGAGGAAGTGGAGCCCCTGGAGCCGAAACAATCGGAGCAGGGAAGGGAACAAACAGGGGCTGGGCTGGTGACGAGGCGACCGTGGGGCCGGAATGGCCCTGGGCAGCCCCTAGCCAGGCCCAGCCCAGGGAAACGGGGAACATACCCAGGGACTCGCCAGCACCTCGTGCGGCTGCTCCCGTCACACCTGGCGGGGGGCGATGGTGTCGCTCTGGCCTGGGAAGCGGTGGGGCAGGCAGCAGAGAGCCAGGCCCTGGCAGCAGGGCTAGCGGGCAGAGCCTGGAGGTGGTGGTGCCCAGGGCTGTATCCCGGGAAACACCCCCTGCCCCCAGGGCAGCACACTGGACCAGGAGCCGGCCTGGAGCTCTGCACCCAGCAGTTCCCGTTGGGTCTGATCCATGGAGAAGTTTCCCTCTGGAGCCAGTCACTGCTGCTCTGGGGTCACCCTTCAGTGCCCAGTGTGGGGGGAGCCAGGACTCCTGGGTTCTATTTACAACTCTGGGAGGGGAGTGGGGCCTGGTGGTCAGGAGCCAAGACTCCCTCTGGGTTTTCTTCCTGGCTCCGGAGGGGGAGTGAGTTCAAGTGCTTGGGAGCCAGGACTCCTGGGTCGGCCACTAACTTGCTGAGGCCGAGCCTCACCGTGCCTCAGTTTCCCCTCTGCACAGTGGGGATAACGAAGCTGCTCGGGCCTTGCGAGGTTTCATACATGAAGTGCTGGGCCGGGAGGAGCCAGAGCAAGGACTAAGGTCAGTGCTGGCTGTAGCATGTGAGGCCCAGGGTGCCCCCCCCCCGGCCCCCCCCACCACCGCCGGCTTCCCCCCCCCCCCCCCCCCTGGCTTTGCTGCAGGACCAGTCAGGGATGCGTCCACATCATCGTGGCCCAGACCAAGGACAACAAGTACACGCTGAGCCAGACCAGCGGGGTCTTCGGCAGCGTCCCCGAGGTGGTGCATCACTACTCCACCGAGAAGCTGCCCTTCAAAGGGGCGGAGCACATGACCCTGCTGCACCCCGTGCACAGCAAGCTGCATTAGCGCGGCCGGGCCCAGCCAGCTGCCTGGGGCTTCGCCACGGACTTCGGGGCAGCCAGGGGGCCGGGCGGGCTCGCGCGTGGAGCCAGGCGCATCGCGGGAGCGGCAAGCGCTCCGGGGCCCACCCTGGGCAGAGTCAAAGACCCCGCTCCCCAGCACGTCTGATCTCGTTCCAGCCAGGGCCCGGTCGCTGCCCCCGTGGGAGCGGCTGTTCAGCCTGCAGGACGGCGCCCCCGTTGGCTAGCAGGGGCTGCAGTCTGGGAACGCTCTGCCCCACGGAGAGCCCCCTTGGCCCTGCACAGAGCCGGAGCTGCCCGGCTTTGGTGCCGGTATAAAGGGATGTTGGGATCGCCAGAGCGGATCGTCCCGCCGGCTGGCCGGCCCGCTAGCCTGTCTCCCAATGGCCTGCTCCGGAGGGGTGACCCCGCGCTGCCTGGGACTGTCAGTCAGCGTGACGCTGGGCAGCAATGGGCACGGTGCTGAGCGGCTGCTCCTGGTCTCAATCCCCTTCAAGGCCTGGCACAGGCCAGAGCTCCTGCCCCGCTGCCTCCTGGCCGCTGTCTGGGAGGGTGACGTCCCCTTTGGCTTCCTGGGGTCTCTGAGGGTTGTGGGCAGCTGGGGCCCGGCTCCACTGGCACCCTGGGCAGCCGTTCTGCTTCCCTGACTCTCCCGCACCCCGGGAGGCCCCTTTGCCCCACTGCTTTCTGTCCAGGGCAAGGTGTTTGACTCGACCGCACGGTGTCTCCCTGCTGGGAGCATCCTTGTGACCCTCCACTGCAAGGTCATTCCCCCTCCAGGCCTTCTCTCCCCTCCAGTCTGCCCCACCCCTGGCGTAGCCCAAAGCCAGGGCCAAACGCCTGCAGCTGGCGCTGTCCAGTACTGAGTCTGCAGCCGGCTGCCCCGCGGGTTACGTGATCTCCCCAGCGATGGAAGGGGGGGCACACGGCGTTACGTACTCTGTAAGCCTGGCCGGTTGCCTCTCCAGACCCTAAGTACCTGCCTACTCCTGTGGGGCCTGACTGAGGGGCGGCAGGACCCGCACTCTGGCTTTCTCCCTGTAACGGGGCCTGGTCCCGGAGCCACAAGCCCCGAGTCGGTTCCAGTCGTTTCAGGCGCTGCCCCCGGGAACAGGAGTAAACCCCTGGGAGCTGGCGCTGGGCTTCGTTCTGCCAGGCCTTGCTTCAGCAAAGCCCCCCGGCTGGTCGGGGCTCAGGTTAGCACCTGCTTTGCTGACTTGGTGCCTGGCAGGGGACGCAAACTGCCAGCAGAGCCCCAAATCCCCCGGCGGCCGCCCCCTCCCCACTGCTCTGCCCCCTACACAGAGCCAGGGGCTCCCCCGTCGTCCCTGCACCCTGGGGTGGGCAGAGACTAGAAAGGGGCCAATTAGTGCTTGGGTCAACACTGCCACCATGTGGCGAGGACTCTGCAGTACAGGGTGGGACCAGGCAAGGAAGGAAACTGTTCCCCTTAGTTGCATGTCCTGAGGAGTTCCCAGGCAGGTTCTCCCTACTGGAGCGTGGCCGGAGACACAGGCCGGCCAGCTGTGGTCGCTCCAGGCTGAGGCGCTGTCCTCAATGCGGCGTTAGCTCCACTCCATTTACCCTGTGCCAGCCACCTCCGGGCAACGCACCAACACCCTCGCGTGCGGGGTGGGGGCGACACGTGCGTTAGCTCTGCCGAGAGGCCAAGCCCTGAGCGCCTTTGCCCCTCCGACGGAATCGAATCCCCTTCCCCAAGCGAGCCAGGCTGCGGCTTGGTCTAGCCAGTGTCCCGGGGGAGTCCAGTTAGCATGTGCATGCAGCTCGCGTGCCTCCCAGGCAGGGCCGGCTCCAGGGTTTTGGCCGCCCCAAGCAGCCAAAAAAAAAAAGCCCCGATCGCGCCCCGCGGTGGCAATCCGGCGGAGGGTCCCTCGCCCCAACCGGGAGTGAGGGACCGTCTGCCGGATTGCCGCCGAATAGCTGGACCCGCCGCCCCTCTCCGGAGGGGCCGCCCCAAGTACCTGCTTGCCAAGCTGGTGCCTGGAGCCGGCCCTGCTCCCAGGGAGCAGCCAACTGGACCAAAGCTCTCGGAGACGCTCCTGGGTTGGGCAAGAGCCCGGCAGAGCGTCCCGGCAGGTCGTCATGCTTTCTTGGGGTCAGCTGTTAGCACAGCTGTGCCCCATGTGGCTCCATAGCCAGTGTTAGACCTTTGATCTTTGGAGACTGTGTCTTTAACAGCTGCTTGTCTGTATTAATTGTTTTTAAAGTATTTATGATGTTGCCCGAGGTGGTTTTATGATGTCTCTGAATGTCGGGTGAGAACTGACTCAAGGCTGCTTGCAGCCGTGGCGCGAGGAGGAAATAAACTGTCACGTCAAGGAAAAGCCTCGCCCGGCGTCTGCGTGTTGCTGAGGCCTGGGCAGAAGAGACGCTTGCTAGCGCTGCATTTGCAATAAGTGCTTGGTTGCATCTTTGCAGTGGGGCCTGGTTCCAAGCCCATTGAAATCAGTGGCGAGGCTTTGGATTTTCTGATTTGCATCAGCACTAAGGAAAAAAAAATCTGTCCTTCTCCCTTTTCAGCGCCTCTGCCGCAGAGACGGGGTTAGTCAGCTTCCTGCCCTCACCCTCACTTGGGGAACTTCGTGTCTTACAAAATGTGTGTCCAGAAGTGAGCGACACACAACTCACGCAGCTGGTGTGAGCTGGATTCTGCGGCTAGCCTGGGGTAAATCTGGATTTACCTCTGGGCTCAGGCCTTGTGCGGCTGGGGCCGGCGGAGTCGCTGTGGAAGAACCTGCTCTGCATTAGCCAGTCTGGGCCTATGGCCTCTGGAGGCTCAGGTCTGGCACAGCGACGCCTGTTCCACCCAGGGGGGGATCGTACGGGGCTCGCATTGCTGGGCAGTTCCCCCCACGGAGACCAGGCGCCTGCCTGCTGTCTGGCCAAGGCTGGAAGCTGTGTGAGTTCCTGCTGCTCCTGGGGGCCAGGTTGGCAAAATGGTTCAGCTCCCCGTGAGCACAATGGCAAACCCCTTTCCCCAGGCACAGACTGGGGGGGGGTGTTTCTGGCTGGTTCCCAGCTTGGGGGCCTGGCTGTGTGAACCCTCACCCTGGGGGCAGAGGGCCGCTCGCTCACCTGTCAGCCGCCCCCGCCTGCTAGTCTGGGCTCTGCGGGGAAGGGGCTGACTCAAACCCAGACTGGAGCTGCTGGCAGCAGGTACTTTCGGGGTAGGCAATTTACATAGCAGGCAGCGAACCTTCCTCTGCACAGCCCTGGGCGGGGGTGGGGGCTTCCCCAGCCGCTCCCAGGGAGAGGCGCAGGCAGCGGTGGGGCTAGCACCCCAGGGAGCCCTGAGCTTCAGCACTCAGCCTGGCCCCTGCCCCGCGTCGCCCCTTGAACCCCTCCCGTCTCCCCGGGGCCCAGGGCTCGGCCCTGCCGTCCCCCAGCTGCTGCTGCTAAGAGGTGGCCCAGACCCTGCTGCCTTTGCACCTCGCCCCCACCCCGCGCTCTTCCCAGCCCCAGGAGCGACATCTGCATCCTGTGCAGCTTGGTACAAGCCAGGGGCCAGCCCCAAAGGGGAACTGTCTCCCCCGGGCAGCGGGCAAGCCTGGCCTCCCGGCCTGTGGCTTCCTGCCCTCACACGGCCCGGGGAACATGCGCCAGCTGCAGCCGCCAGTTTTCCTTCGCCGTGTTGCGAAACCGGTGGCAGCTCTAGGAGCCAGGACGCCTGGGTTCTCTGCGTGGCTCTGGCCTGGGCTCGCCGGCCACGTAGGAACACGTCACTGCTCTGCTGCCACGGTCGCAGTCGCGGCCCCTCCGGCGCCAGCGCCAGGCTCGGCTTCTTCCCCGACCAGAGCGGGGGGGTCGGCTAATGCCCCAGAGCAGCCCTAGGCACCGCGTAAAAAAACATTTATTGGACACACGGTTGCCAACACACGGCTCTTCCTGTACAAAACCCTCTTCACACAAACACCAGTTTGATGGGGGGGGGGAGAGAATCCAACCCCCAGCACTGCACCGGGGGGGGGGGGGAGCCTTTGTTACAGCCACACGCAAGCAGCTGCAGGGAGGGGGTGAGGCCCGGTTGGGAGGGCACTGGGTGAGCTCAGCCACGTCCTGCCCCCACTCTGAGCCACTGTCCATCCCCCCCACGTCCATACAGATGGTGAGCGCCCCGCGACAGGGTCTCTCATGGCACCTCCAGCCCCGTACAATTGGGGGAGGGGGGGCAGTGGGCTGGAGCTGCAGCTCTAGCTGCCCGGTGGCAGGCCGAGTCATCCCACGGTTTGGGGGCCATCGGGGGCCCCTGCACCCTCGGACGGGGCGGCTGCAGCGCTGGCTCTGACTCTGCTGTCGGCCTAGAGCTGACTTCCCCTGGCGAGCGCCTGGCCGAGGGGCAGCGCTCTGAATGCCCGGCTCTACCGGTTAATGCCCCTCTCCCGGAACTGGGGCCCCGCCAGCCCTTGCCACCTTCCGCGGGAAGTGGGCCCATCGGACGCCCTCCACGCTGCGTCACGGGGGCGCCGGCCCCAGCCAAGGACCGTCCAAACCCCGCCACGAGGCAGGCCGGGAAACGCTGGCTCCAGCTGCTTGGGGGAGACCGTGGGAGAGGTGCCAGCGGGCACGGGTCCGTCTCCCAGGAAGGACAGAGAGGTTGGCTCCTTCCAGCAGAGTCCCGGGAACCACGGCTGCTGGGAGCCCGGAGCTGCCCGGCAGCGGCTCCAGCCCACCGGGGCAGAGGGAGCTATTGTTAAGGGCCAGGCTATTTATAGCCGAGCCACAAGGTCGGGCCCCTGCCTTGGTGCCTGCTGGGGCGGTCGCTGCGTCGCAGGCTGGCGAGGCTGGTTCCCCGGCTACTGGGGGACGAGGAGGTAATCCATGTTGGTGACGTCGAAGGGGCCGAAGTCACCGCTGCCAGGGGTGCCTGGCGATGCCGGAGGGGAGAGGAGCGGGGCCTCGCTCAGTGGGGACGTGGGGCTCGGAGGAGCCAGCGGCACCAAGGGGTGCTGGACCACAGCGCTGGCCTTGCCCTGGCCCAGGGAGCCCCTCCTCCATTTCTTCTTGTACCTTGAACACAGAGCAGGTCAGGAAGGGGCAGAGATTGGGGGCTCACACCCCTCAGACACCCTGATCCCTGCTGGCAGCGGGGTTGGGACTCAGGCCTGCATTGGCAGGGTGCCCATTGCCCTGCTGGCCCCGGGACCACATCATGGCTGCCCCAGGCCCGTGGCTCTCCCCAGGGGCAGGCAGGGGGCAAAGCCCCACTGAGTCTCCATCAGTAACAGCCTGTGAGACGAGCATTCAGGGCAGCTCTCCGTGGCACAAGGGTCAGCAGCAAATCAGTGACTGGGGGGCCACAGAGAGCGAGAAGCACCCAGCTGCTCCCATGGCAGTTCGCCCGAGCCCCCCACCGCACCGTTTGGGTGAGTCACTCGCAGCTGGAAGGGGGAGAGTCGTGCTGGGGGCAGGGCCCGGGCCCTCGGCCCCTCTGGGTTCCCCAGCACACAGGGCTCAGGAAAGGACCCCAGTGGAGAGCCAAGCAGGAGTCCATGAGCAGGGCTGGAGGGGGCTCTCCCAGTCCTGCCAGGGGCCTCAGGGGCGTCTCTCAGCTGGAGGGAGACCAGGATCCCAGCCCCAGAGAGCTGCTGGGGCCAGCAGTGGCCACCCATATAAGGGGGCAGGGGGCCCGTTCCTGTTCGCCAGAAGACCCCCGGACTGCTCTATGGAGATGGCCTCTCTTGGCCACGCAGGGGTAAGTCCAGCAGGAACTCGGCTGAGTCCAGCAGGCCAGATCCTGTCCTGCCCTGGTGCCCGGGAGTCACTCCAGAGTCACACTGGAGTAACAGATCCGACCCAGGCATGCACTGCACGGCCTGGGGCACCAGCTGAGAGTGACTGTCCCTCCCTCAGTGCTTCCCCAGGAGGCCAGCCGGTGCCATCACCCCTCGGCACCAGCCCGAGCGCAGGCCCAGTGGCAGCTGGCCCGGCCGCGTCTCACCTGAGCACAATGCCAGCGAGCAGGCCGGTGCCCAGGAACAGGCTCCCTCCGGTGACCAGGAACGTGTACAGGGGCACGGTGGAGTGGTCGCCGACACCAAGACCCCCCACTGCAAACCAAGGGGACACGGACACCGTTACCAGCACGGCAAGGCCCAGCCCCCCCTCCCCCCGCTCGCTTTGCAGGGCTGGATATTTCTGCGCCACCTCCCAGCGAGGGCTTTACAAAGGCCAGAAACCTGCTGCCAAGGGCTGGGAGCCCTGGAGAATGACCGAGGCCTCCTGTGGGCCGGCACAGCCAGCCTGAGGCCCACCCATCGGGCTGCCCCCTGGCTCGGTTGCCCCGGATCAGCCCGTCCTGAGGTGCTCTGGATCGCCCTGCATGTCCCTGGCGTGGCAGCCCTGCCCACCCGGGAGCTCTGGGCCTGACAGACCAGCGCGGGGGGCAAGGGGGGGTCTCATTACCATTAGCGCCCTCTGTGTCATAGAGCCCGGGGGGGCCCGTGAACGTCTCGCTGTAGAAATCATAATCCGAGGGGAACTGGAGGAGAGAGATGGGGGAGAGGGGGTTAGCAACAGGGTCAAAGGGTCCCCCCAGTCCCACCCACAACACCCCTAACACACGGCATGTCCCCCGTCCCTCTCCCCCATCCCCGCCTGTGACACTCCCAACACACGGCATGTCCCCCCTCCAGTTCTCCCATCCCCGCCCGTGACACCCCCAACACACGGCATGTCCCCCGTCCCACTCCCCCATCCCCGCCTGTGACACCCCCAACACACGGCATGTCCCCCTCCTGCTCCCCCAGGGCACAGAGCCCTTGGGTGAAGCACATACAGTGCTGAGCCCTGAGGCCTGTTCCCCCTCCCACCGGGGCCCATGGGCCCCTAGCAAAC